TATATATTATTTTTTTAATTTATTTTTCTTTTTTCATTGTATTCATTCATTCATATATTCATTGAAGAAATAATATCTTGTAAGATGTGTAAAAGGTAGGTAGATACTTTATATACGTCGCACTAGATCTGCACAATGGGCTATTGGCGACGGTCTGAGATACATCCCTGGGGATGTTCCGAAGACATGTCATCGCAATTTTGATCCCCTGCTTTGGTAGCCCGATGACCTGCACGCGATGTCAAGCACTTTACGGTAGAACAGTTTAACGGGGACCGATATCTCGTACCCTCGGTCCCTACGCAGGCTGATCAAAGTGGTAACCCACCCGTTTACTGACCGTAGCCAGTGATGCTTGACTTCGGTGTTCTACTGGGAACCGTGTCTTTACGAGCAGTCTACTGTTAATGAGTGCAAAAAAAAACTTAACTTTTGATCTAATGATTGGATTCTCTTGTACCAAGACTCAATTTTAATGCTTCGACAGCCTAACCAGAAATTAGTTTGGTAAGACTATTTTTTTAGTTACGAAATCAGATACAAAAACCTTAGTATACCTTCTTGTCTACGGATTTCGATATGGGGGAATAAAATATCGTTACAATAGTTAAAGGCTGGAGAGCAATTGAAAGTCTGAACTTCTAAACGTTTATTTCTTTTTTTGCGAATTTCGCCATATCATGTGAACTTTTTAAAAGAACTAAAACATTTTTGTACACAAATGTAAAATTCGTTTGTCTTAAACTAATTCTGCGCAAAAAATAATTTTTAATATTGAGCATTAGTTCACTATATCCGGGAGCTCACTATAAAAAGTGTTCACTATAGCGGGGTTTGACTGTATATTGCTATGCTTTAAAAAAGTTGTTACTTCTTTCGGCTTTTGTCTAAATATATGAAAGCTTATCAGATATTCAGGTTTTGCTTCTTAAGTTGAAATTCATCATAAAAAATTTCCTAAACTTTTTCTTAAAAAAAATATTTCCTTACAAATATTAAGTGTTCTTATTCTACGTTCTAAATCACTTTAAAAGCACAACTGATGAAATTTTTATCAGATTTCTCAAACAAATCTTCTCTATTCTCTCTCTCTACAAACTCTCTCTCTATTCTTCTTTTTTCTATCACGGATTCTATAGAGGGAAGCTTTGTGCACCATGGTTCGAAATCTGGAAAACGAAATTGGAAATCTTGGACAACAACTCGACACTGAAAAAAATAATGTTCAATTTCTTGAGAAAGAAAAAGGTTTGCTTAAAATTGTAAATTGTGCTTAGTTTAAATTAAATCCTAGTTTAAAATTTGATTTGACAATTAATTGTTTATAATTTTTTTAGAAAAGTTAATGTCTGATTTAACTGAAATGCAGAACTCCAACGAACATTATGATACTCTATTACGAGAACAAAAAGAAGAGTTAAAAAATATTGAAGTAAGGTTATTTACCTTTATGTTCTGTGTGGATTTAAAATGTGTTGTTGAAATTTAGTTTGTATTTTGCTCTTTATAAATGTCACGATAATAATGTCACGACTTTATAAATAACATAAATGTCTTAATAAATATCACGTAAATTAATCAACTTATTTGTGTTTTATCGAAAAAGCTATGCTAATTTATTTTCTAACATTTTATAAATTATTTTATGATGATTCTATTTATATTATTAACTTGTAACTATAACGTTTACTTGTGTCTATAATGTACAGTGTTATAATTAAGACGAATATCTAGATTTTATTTCACTGTATTTTTTTTCTTGCGAAATCACTATTACTCATGATTTCTTTTTAATAGTTAGAAAGTTAAATCCGATTTTGCACGAAAGAAAGTTTAGTAAATACTGTTTCAATATAACAATTATAATAAATACACATTTATTATAATTATGTCATTTATTATGTAAATTTTTTTACATAATAAATACACACGAAATTCTAATAAATACACATTTACTTTAATTAATTATTATTGAGAAAATTGAAAAATAATTTAATTATTTTCCTGTGATAAATAAGTGAGAATTATTTTTCTCCACAAACAACTGCAGTTGTAATTTGACTTTTTTTTGTACTATTAATTTTATATATTTTATACATATAAAGTTAATATAAATATAACTTTATATAATAATTATAAGATTGAATATATCATATATATTTTATAACTTAATGTATTAGATTTTATGTATATTATTCTTAGCTTTAGAAAAACACACTCGTGTGACTATAAAATTTAGAAATTTTAAAATAGTTAAATATTTATAAATCTATTATAAGTTCTTTGTTGCAAATTCTCTTATGGCTAGAGTGAAAATGATGTTAATTATTGATGTTAATTTAATTCATTTGCACGCGATATTTTGCTTTTTAGGATGTAAACTTTTGCAGACTCTTTTGTGGACTCTGGAAAGGAAATAAAAAAATATTAAACTAACAAGCTATTTGAGTGTTTGGCACAGCAGGGATTCTTTATCAAAAATTTACTGTACTTTACTTTTTGACTGGTTCTTTTTTTTTCTATTAAAAGTTAGGACATTTCTAAGGATTACCTAAGCAATGATAGAGTGGATTTCGTAATCCCCAAACATTGACATTGGTTGTTTTTGCATTAAGTTAGGAAAACTATCCTGATATTTATAAATTGTTATTGGAACATTTTTATGGATTACCTAACCAATGATAAATTGGATTACGTAATCTCTAAGCATTAACATTGACTGTTTTTGCATTAAGTTAGGAAAACTATCGTGATATTTATAAATTGTTATTAGTTACCCATTAATCATTTAGAGAAAATTCCCAGATTTCTTAAAAAAAAATTTCTCTATTTTTTTTAACTGAAAACATAAGAAATTGAATTGAAATATTTTCACAAAATTTTTAGGTTTCAAGAGAGGAGAAAGAAAAACAGCTTGCCTTTCAATCATCAATTATTAAAGATTTGGAAGCGAAATGCAAAGAATTATTAGAAACTAATGCAACGCTTAACACGGAAGCGAGTGCTGTTCATAGTTTGAAACAAGCGAATGAACAGCTCAAAAGCGAAATTGTTGATTTGGAAAAAAGGTTCTACTCTATGTTTTATAATTAGAAACCTTACCTTTATTATCAAGAGATTAATCTAAATAGAACCGTAGTTTGAATTTGATAGACTTGGAATTAGCTCTTATTTATTTTCTCATAAGCATTCGCATCTTTTTAAATAGGGTGTTAACAATTTAAATCATGATTTCAACAATAAGCTTTTTTTTCGAAAAAAGGAAGGAAAAAAAAGCACTTTAATCTAAAATGTGAAGTAAAGAAATAAAAAACACGCGCAATAATTATTGTTTGTTTTTTAAAGAGATTTTAAACTCTGGTAGAAAAAAAGGATGTTTTTCGAAAGCAATAAATTGAGTAAAAATGTTTTATTTAAGTATTAAAGAAATAAATGGATTCATCAAAAAATGAACAACTAAAAAAATTAAGTAAAAACTGAAGAGTTTTTTTTTTAATTGATGTAAAGATAAGTGATAGAAATAAGCAAGCGACGGATATGACGTGACATGAATTTGCATTTACATTCAGAAAAAATTGCAATTTTATTTTTTTCTAGAATATAGGAAAATAGTGTAATATATCAGAACTTTAAAGTTATTAAAATGCTCGGAATTAAATTTGATATTTTCCAGTTTCTTATTGTTAATTCATGGTGCGAAGCGTTTTTAAAAAGTGCTTAAAGGTGCTTATTTTCGATTTTCGTTTTTTCTTAAAGCCCTTAAAGGGAATTATATAAATAAAATATTATTAAAATAATAATTTTGGGCAATTTATATTATATATAAATAATCGACGAGAAAAGAATGAACAGCGAATTACGTTTTTTCATTTCTGTGTAAAAGAATCAATTATTAATTACCTATATTTATAAATTCTAACTTAAATAAGTATAAATTGTCTTTCCTAAGATGCCTAATAAAAATTTTATAACTTTAAAATATTGAATGCTTAACACCCATTTAGTAATTATTAAATTAGCTTAATTTCATTAATAAAAATCAAATGTTTTTTTTAATTTTTAATATTCTTATGTTTATAGATGATTTCATTTTTATTTATTAATAAATTTTTTTTCAGCCTCCATTAGATAATAAAATGTTTTAGCTTGTAAATCTCCTATTTTCTAAACAAAAAACAAATTCTCCTCTAATGAATTGTTTTAAAATTACTTTTTTACATTACTTTTTTTCAAATATTTAATATAAAGTGAAAAGCAGGCAATGTTTATTAGTGAATTTTCTATTGTTGATAATGAACAATAAGTTCAATAAGAACAATAAAAAGAATACAATTAGTTCTATAAAAACAATATCATACTGTTGATAATGAACTATAAAAAACTATCTATCATTAGAAAAATTATAACTATTTAATTTAATGACCTATTTTATTCCCTCTTTCTTGTTAGAAAAAACGGATGGACATTTATATAGTTTTCTTAAATTTGGTTCTAATTATTTTTATATTTTGAATTAGAAATAATATTATTTTAAAAGCATAATTTAATACAGTGCACTTAATAGTTTTTAGCACAGTAATAAATTGTAATTTTCATGAGTTATAGCTTACGTTTGCAGCCCCGAAACTCCCGTGATTCTTCTTTTCTTTTTGACACCAGCTTGCATGAGATAACTTTATAAGCTAGGGTAAGGCAAACATTTACTTCGAGATTTGGAAGAGATGAAGATTAAAAATCGAGCGAGAAATTTTTTTTTTTTTTGCTGATAAAGTACGGGTTTTATATTGAGTCATGCCTTGAAATTTTTAGATTGAAGGAAGAAGAGGATAAAAGTTTTGAGTTGCTCTCTTCTCTACAGACTATGCAAAATCAACATGGTAAGTGGCTATTTTAAAACCAACTGAATGTTTATTTTTGACTCGTTCTAATGTTTCCTCAATCTGAAATAAATTTTGTTATTTTTGTAGCCAATCTTGAACAGAAAATTAGTGAAGAAGTAGTGGAATTGGAGGCCTTTAAGGATTTACAAGTAACCATAACATTTGTTTAATTTCGATTATCTGATAATAGCCTCTCTTATTTATACTATATTGTAGTGCTTCTACCAATACAAAAATACAATTCCAATTAGCTATTATATAAGGCATGTTGACTCGATACTATGTTGGGGTATATTTTTATTGATCACAACTTCGTATTTTCATAGATCACAAATAACGTCGGCCTGTATGAACGACTGCTAATGGCAACACAGGGGCGACCACGATCGTGAACTTAATACAGCTCTCACGATCAGCATTTAAGAAAAATACGGTAATCTTAATACAGCTCTCCCGTCTTCTCACAAAAACAGCTATGAATGAAGTAGTGGTATCCGTTCATCAAATTCTATCACAGATATAATTCTGGTGGTGGAGTACTGTAGTGCGTCTACCACTGCATAAATACAATTCCAATTCACTAGTATATTAAACATGTTAAGTCGATTTTATGTTGGGGTACCTTGTCGTAGATGAAGGTTGATATGATCGATAACTACTATATATATATATATTCATAAATTAGTATAGGGTCCTCTTATCATTGTCCTTTTATGATAGTTAGTAAAATGTTATTGTATCTAATTAACTAAGAAAATACTTTTTTTTCCCTCCTTCTTCTTTTCAAGTGTTATCAAAATGACTCTCTGAGCTATTGTTAATCATTGCTTTTAATTTCTTGTTAATTGCAGCATTTTCAGTGCAATCTTAGCACACAGCTAGTGACTAAGAAATGTACAAATTTAAGACATCATAAAAAGTAAATAAAACATTTAGATGAAATAGGACTCGATTAAATAATAAAATATCTATAAAAATTAATAAATCAGAAAATTAGAATACTAAGTAAAAATGGGTGTATATATATATANTATATATATATTGCACAGTTGCATTTTTTTCGAATAGTTTTGAGTAGATTTCGCAAAATACTTCTTAACAAATTATAATTTCGTGCAATGGCGTGCGAATTTTTTTTTAATGTTTCACAAATTTTTCTTTTAATTCACAACGAAATATTTTTTTAATGATAGTTCATGTACATAAGTATTGAAGCATTAGACTACAATGCTATATACAATGATGTGAAACATTGTATATTATTAATTTCATATTTACCATTATGTACTTGAATCATATAATATAAAAATATTAATAATTTTCATGATGCAATAAGTGTTGCTACAATTATTGTTAACATAATAATGTATAGCGCTTGCTACATTTATGCACCGTTTCCTATATGTTTTCTATGTTTTTTGAAATAAAATTATTTATATATAACTGAGATAAAATATTTGTATAGTTTCATGCACGATTTCTCTGCTTAAATTTACTTTCACTTGTTTAAAGCGATTCCACTTATATAAATGTGAACGTTTATTATTGGGTATACAAATAAGTTCCCGCAGTTGATCACAGGATGGCACTATTGGAAGTTTATGTAGAAATTGACCGGTGTTTAACGTCTTATTGTAAGTTTGTTCATCTGGTAACAACATGAACTTAAAATATTAGTATTTCCGTATTAGCCTTTAATTGTTTTTGTATAAAAATGTCAAATAAGCGTCATTTGCGGGAACTTTTTATTTGCTTCTTTCATTTGAAGAAATCTGCAGCTAAGGAACCTCGATTGCTTGGAGAAGCATAGGGTGAGTCTGCTTAAAGTGAGAGAAGTTGCCGTGCGTGGTTTCAGAAGTTTTAAAACGACGAGTTTGATGTGGATGACAAAGATCGCAATGGAAGGCCGAAATTGTATGAAGACAAGGAATTGGAAGAATTATTGGAAGAAGATTCGTTCCAAAAGCAAAAAAAAAAAAACTGTTCTTAATTACAAGTGGCTTGCACCGACCACAGTGCTGACGTGAAATATCCTCATTGATAGACGTATCATGGATTAGAGTCCCCTTGCCGTCTGGCTTACCGTGGGAGGTCCTCGAGGTCTTTCTCTCCATGTAACGCAAATGCTGGTAAACTCCCTCAAAAATGTCCTCCGCGAAGGCAAATTTATACCAATACTCGATCCAAGAGTTCCCTTGTCTTCTGGATTGGGCTAAAAATGACAAGGCTACGGAGTTGAACATTAGCAGTCGTAAACCCATAAAATTGAGTCGGATGTTCAACGACAGTTATAAAATAAAATATAAAGTGACTTAGCAAGTAATTTCACATAATTTTAAAATCATTGGGAATGGTCCCAAAAAAAGGAAGTTAGGTTTCGCCAAGAGACATTGAACGTCGATTTTGTTATTTGGAAACACTTTAATGGGAAATTCTACTCCGCCTTCAGTATTCACCAGACATTGCCCTTTCAGATTATCACCTAATCCGGTCGATGGCACGTGGTCTCTCTGAGCAAAAATTGACATCATTTGAAGAAACCAAGGAATGGGTCGATTGGTGGACATCCTCGAAAGATGAAGAGTTCTTCCGACATGGTATCCAAATGCTCCCAGAAAGATGGGAAAAAGTAGTGTCTGGTAAAGGAGAATACTTTGAATAAAAGATAATGTAAGGATTTTTCACGATAAACTGTTAATTTTTAATAGAAAATGGCGGAAACTTATTTGTACTCCTAATAAAAATAAACGTTCACTTAATTTTTAAACAAACGAAGTACAATATTCTTGGTCTCATAATTAGATTTCTAATTAAAATATTTTATAAATTTGTTATGATAAATTCCTAATTAGCATGTCTTTGTTAGGTAAAATACAATGAGTTAAATGAATCCAATGCAGCATTGCTAAATGAGAAAGCCAAACTTGAGACGAAACTGAAAGATTTATCATCCTATTTATCCGAGCTCGAGTAAGTTTAAATTTTTTTTAACTCCTCAAAATCATTTGCTGAAATGAATGTTCAGCTAAAACATAGATAATGCGAATATTTTACATTTTAAATTTTAAAAAAAATTTAGTATTGATGTTAAGATTGTTTTGGCAAAAATATATTCTGTAGTTACTGTTGTATCAAAAAAATTTTAATTTCCATGTGATAATTTATTGTTTTAAAGTAAACTAATTAACAAATTTTAAGCTGTTCAATCTATTTTTATATTTTTACATGCAATAATTTAAATCCTAAACTATTTTGTTTGTAGTTCATGTGGTTTTTTTTTATCATCTTGGAAATGTTTTTTTAATTCTTTATTCAATTCCTACAATTAGTTCACACTCTTCCTATATCTTGTTCAAATTTTCAATCGTTAAGAAAATACTTTTTATTCACCCACTTAAGTTCAAATACATTTTTTTAAAACTTGTATAACACTTGGTGTTAATAACAGTTTTTTACAAATATTAATTTATTAGTTAAATTTAATTCATTAATTTCAGTTATACATGGGGGAAAAATTGTCATTATTTTATAGAAAGTAATAAAAATTTTCTTCGTTAACCTAAGTAGGAATTGACTTTAATTTTTTTTTTATATTACTTGTATTAATCATAGTATATTTTGTTGAAAAAGAAACTATTTGTAATATCAGTTCTCTAAATGTGCCACTATATAATTTTTTTACACTCTGAAGATAAAATTTATAGACATTTTTATTTTATTTTGAATACATTTTTTCCCGTTTATACTTTATTATTTAAATTTCTTAATTTATTTCTCTAGAGCTGATAAAGAAAAATTGTCAATGCTATGCGAAGAAAATTCAGAACTCATTGTTAATATTAAAAACGATTGTGAGGAAAAATTGGTGAATATATAGTCAATTTCTTTATTTCATTACTACCAGTAAAAATGATCGATATAGAAAATTAATTCTTTTCAAATTGTTCGTGTCTTACTGGTAATGATTCAAATTAATTTAAAATCAATTAATTAACTTTCATTGTATTATTAGTCTCAGTAAACTTATTATTATTTTACTCAGTAAACAAAGAAGCTTTATTTTTTAATCTTCATATGGATCCAATATTTATGTGTTGTAAATTATATTTTACAATTGTATTGTAAACTTTCTTATCGGTAAATTATAGAATCAATCATGAGTACTGATGAAAGTTACTACTGTTATTGATCTAAAAGTTTATTATTATTATTATTAAAATTCACTTTTAAAGTATTGTTTCTCACAAATTCTCTAATTGATTTATTTGAATTTTGGAATTCCAATTGTAAAATTGGATCTTATATTTTAAAAATGCTTTATTAACCTAAATTATTAGCATTATTCAATGTAAGTATTTGGATAGCCTGATTTTGTAATTTAAATTATTAACTGCACCTGTTTAATATACTTAAGGTGTGCCATCCCCTTTGAATAATCAAGATTTTATCTAAGATTACATTAAAATTTATAAAGGGAGTTTGAGGGACTCAACAATTATTATTGTTGTTCCCCTTCTGTGTCACTCAACAATTCTTAGTCAATCGTAAAATTTAACAGTTTATTATTAACACTGTACTATACTTTTTAACAAAAAATATTAGTTTAACTTAGCTATTTATGTAGATTTTTCACACAAAGAAAAATGTTGGAGACAATATTCTAACAAAATTATCATTAATTTAACCATGATAATTTTTTTAGCTGTGAAAAAATAGTTCTTAACATTTGATGCATATTTATTTTTATATGTGGCGAAATAGCCGTGTTATTTTTTCTAAATTTTAATTTAATGAGTGTCATTTTTTTAGCATAAATTTTAAATTGTTTTGATCAATGTGAAATTATATTGTTTTTATCATTGTAAAGTAAAACTATTATTATTATTTGTTTTAGTGTAAATTTAAATATATTATTTATTTTAAAATACATTTAAAAAAAATGCTGCTCATAAATTGGTTTGCAAGAAAATGTTGTTTACTTTTTTTAATAATTGATTTTTTCTTATATTTTGATCGTTAAACTTTCAAACAATGACAACTATAAGCATAAAAACAAAATCTAGATGCAATTAAGTGGCTATAATCTATCTGACAGTTGCTATTATAAGGCTTCATATAAAGATGACGGGCATCATTAAAAAAAAACGCACCCTGAGTACGCATAAGACCTATATTTTTTACTAGTCAGAGAGGTAGTGCCATAAAATATCAGTGACTTTTAGTGTTAAAACACAAACATTTTGAAATCATTTTAAGCAGTGGCGATTAATAATTGTGAAACATTAATTTTGACTAATTAAAAAGTCAATTAGCCATTGCACCAATGTAATAATCTCAGTTTACAGAATTTTAAAATGACTAACACTAACATTAAATGATTTCCTACTACTCCATTTACTGTCGGAGGGATACTAAAACCCAATTTTTTTCAAATGTAAAATTGTTTTTATACTTTACACTTACCTTGCCATTATTAAAAATTTTTTTTCTTCTTAACCTTTCAAATTTTAATCATTTAGATCAAAGTTGGGCAAACTACTACTCGCAGGCCAACTGTGGCTGACTGGAAGGTTTTATCTGGCCCGAGGATAAAATTTTAACTTGCCGATCCGTGGCGAATATAAACAATATACATCCATTTTTAACAAAGTACTGATGACCATTTTATTTTCTCTATTTTTGTTGTACAAAACATAAATTGATGGAAATAGCTAGCACAAACAGCTTCAATTTGTAAAATGTTGAAAGCAGAAGTTTTTTTTATATAGAATAGCCGTAGATTGGTGCCATCTGAAGCAATTCCTAAATATACCAAAGTTTGAGTCTCACAAATAATTACCCAAAGCTAGTTTCCCAAATTTAATATTTCCTGCTCAAAAAACCAGTGCTATGTTCGCTTCATCTTGTATATGTGAACAGGTCTTTTCAATTATGAACCTTAGAAAAAATCATTTCAGAAGTAAACTAACAGGCAAACATTTAGCTTCGTTTTTTAAAATAAGTGCATCTCACTGGGAATCTCAATATAAGGAACTTTTAAAAATGAAATCGTTATTTCATTCATCGCATTATATGTCGTTTTTTATTATTTTATTTTAGAAGTTTTTACTTAGCGCACTAAACTTTTTTTTCATAGACTTTTTGCCTTGGATCAAAAAAGTTTGCCGGTCCCTGTTTTAAATTATAGACCTTTGCACATTATAGATAACTGGAAAAAAAATGAAAAAAAATCTCTCAAAATTGTAAACACGGAGAAAAATTATCAGATANCTATTTTTGTTGTACAAAACATAAATTGATGGAAATAGCTAGCACAAACAGCTTCAATTTGTAAAATGTTGAAAGCAGAAGTTTTTTTTATATAGAATAGCCGTAGATTGGTGCCATCTGAAGCAATTCCTAAATATACCAAAGTTTGAGTCTCACAAATAATTACCCAAAGCTAGTTTCCCAAATTTAATATTTCCTGCTCAAAAAACCAGTGCTATGTTCGCTTCATCTTGTATATGTGAACAGGTCTTTTCAATTATGAACCTTAGAAAAAATCATTTCAGAAGTAAACTAACAGGCAAACATTTAGCTTCGTTCTTTAAAATAAGTGCATCTCACTGGGAACCTCAATATAAGGAACTTTTAAAAATGAAATCGTTATTTCATTCATCGCATTAAATATTTAAATTAAAACTTATATGTCGTTTTTTATTTTTTTATTTTAGAAGTTTTTACTTAGCCCACCAAACTTTTTTTTTCTTAGACTTTTTGCGCTGGATCAAAAAAGTTTGCCCGTCCCTGTTTTAAATTATAGACCTTACACATTATAGATAACTGAAAGAAAAAAGAAGAAAAAATCTCTCAAAATTGTAAACACTGAGAAAAATTATTAGATATCATCTTTCAAACCAGAAAATAGTAGCATGACAGTAAAAAGTAAAGAATAAAATTTTTTATTATTATTCCAGTATTTTAACGCTATTCGAAAGTTAAAGGGGGGGGGCTTAACGATGCTCACCTGTTTATTATCCTCTCATTATTTATTAGTTTAAATTATTTTTATAATTATTTTTGGATCTTTTACTTTGTTAGGCTAGTGAAGCAAATAAATTAAACAATGTTAAAAGTGAATATGAGCAGTTGCTGAGCGAGTTAGAAACAACTAAAGGATGTTTGGCAGAAAATTCCAAAACTCTTGCTGAAATGGAAGAAAAGGTATAAAATTTAATTGATAGTTTTTACTCTTTCTTTTTCAAAATGAATTATATTTTTGAGCTTTATCCTTGAAAATAAAAATAAAAACTTTTTATTTTAAAAAAAGGTTCAAAGAAGAAATATATTTTGAAATTTGATTTTTGTTTTATTTTCCCCCTCTTTTTCTTAATAAAGTAGTAAGATATTTTGTTTTACTAAAAATGGTATTACGGTACAACCTCAGAAAAATCGGTTAAACGTTAATCCATACTATCAATACTTTTTACCAAAGTATGGTGAAAATTGACAGCGACCTTACTACCCAGATAGGAAGATAAGGTTTATTCTTTCTCAGCAAAATCTTTAAATATCAACCTAAAAAGGTTTTTTATGCGGTTTCCGTGTAAACCTTCGAATCTTAAAGCGAGATCCGTGACAATCTGCTCTATTCTACGCACATTACTCTAATCCAAAACCTTAAAAAGCAACCTTTTATATAAAAACCTTAAATGGAGGTTCTCTTAAGATTTTCAAGCGTTTAAAAATCCTTGAATAAAAGCTAGTCTTAAGGTGAAAATAATATTAATCTTAAATCAATGTAATTATAAGGTTTCTTTTCACAACGTCTTG